GGCTGTCTGGCAAGGAATACAGTGCCAGACAGAAGAGACCTCCCTTTGAGTGGTTGGTGAGAGTGGTCCAGGAGACTCCCAAAATATCACAGGCTATTGCCAAAGCTCTTGGTTATCTCCAAGAACTAGAAGATAAGACCATACTGCTGAAGACAGGACATAGTTCAGATACAGGACTTGGAGCAATGGAGCAGGAACTGACCTAGAAACCTTCTACCTGAAGTTTAGCTCTCATAATGCTACATGATAATATGCAGACTGCCAAGGGAGAAAATCAATCAATGGTCCAACCCATCCCTAAAGCCTAATAACCCCAATGACCAGCACAGCAAGCTACCTCTATTGGTGCAGTAGTGTTATCTGGAGAGTAATCAATAGTTATCTAATCAGACTTAAAGCCCTCTCAGTGGGAGTAAACTCGTGGATGGAACTGTAAACTCAGCCAAATGCACATGGCTGGAGAGGTCCTAGATCCTAGACTAAACCCTATCTCTGTCATATTGCTAGACAAATTTCTTACCATATGCTAAATATGGATCCTTATATTTACAGACAAGCACATGGTACACCACTCATCAAAGAAACTTCTTTTTGCAACACATGGAGGCTACTTCAGAGTTCCACAACTGATCAGACACAGAGAATAAGTGTCTGCAAGATGTCCTAGGTGACACATCTACAGCTGAACCTCTACACCTAAGGCTCATGGAACATAGCAGAACAAGGGGTAGAGAGAAAACCAAGCATCCCTCAACTCTCACCAGTGAAGCTTCCTTATGCAACAGTGTGTGATGTACACAGAAGGCCGCAACTGGCCAAGTTTTAAAGAATAAGACTAAAGCATGTGTGTCCCTGGATATGACTCCCATATTAAACCTCACCCACCCATGGCTCAGGGATCATTGCCGAAGAGGGGGCAGAAAGATTGTAAGAGCCAAGGCTGGTTCGTGAACACAGGGAAGCAGAGGTTTTCAGGTGATTGGAAAGGGCCCAGAATGGAGTGAAAGAAATGTATGGTGGGCTGGCCCTAGACTGAAAACTATTGGAGACTGATTACTACTACTGGGTGAAGGTGAGTATGCCTTATTTATGATCTCTAGATACACTGACTACACTCCAGTGGATGAAGGACATCTAAATACAAATGCTTGACAGGATAAGATGTAACAAGCATGGTGGAATACATGAGATCTGTTGGGCTGCTGGGGGCAGCATGGATGGGGGAAGAGGTCTAAATTTGTTGTATGAAATGTACAAAAGCTCAATAAAATGTTTTTTAAAAAAGAAAAAGAACAGAGTGGGAAGCATCATACTCAGTTTCAAAACATATTATAAAATTATTATAATAAAAAGAGTACAGTATAGCAATAAAAGACACACTGAACAATACAACAGGATAGAAAATTCCAGAAATAGACCCACATATTTATTTTTAACAAAGATGCCAAGATCTCACAATGGTATAAGAAAACCTTTTCTAGAAATGATAAAAAAGAAACCTAGGTGTACATAAGTGGAAGAATGAAACTTTGAAACGTGGCCTTTATCTTGTGCTAAATACAAAACTCATCATAGATAATCAAAATAGATTAAAGATTTGAGTACAAGATGTGAAACTATAAAACCACCTGGATAAAAACAAAGAATAAAAGTTCCATGACATAAGCCAGGGTTGTTATTTTTCTAGATAACACCCCGAAAGTATACAACAAACTAAAAAGCCTCCATCCTGCAGAGGAAGCAACTGACAAATGGAAAAGACAATCCACAGAATGAAAGGACACAGTTGCAAACCAGACCTCTGATAGATGATTATTATCCAAAGTATATAAGGCACCAGCTCAGTTCAATACCAAAAAACAAAAAGATTAAAGAATGGGCAAAGGACCTTGTGATGGCTACAGCTGTCAACTTAACAAAGCCTAGAATCACCTGGGAGATGGGCCTCTGAGCACGCCTATAAGGGATTACCTTGATTGCCTTAATTGAGGCAGGAAGACTACCCACTATGGGTGGTGCCCTCCCCTGACTGGCATCCTGGACTGTATAATTGCAGAAAGGGAGTTGAGCAACATGCATAAATTCACTGCTCTCCGATTCTTGATTGTGGATGTGTGACCAGCTGCTTCAAGCTCCTGCTGCCTTGACTCTCCACCAAGATGGACTGTGAGCTCTAAAATTCACCCTTTCTCCCTTGAGTTTAGTCAAAGTATTTTATCACAGCAACAGGAAAAGAACCTAAAGACCTGAACAGATATTTCCCAAAAGAAGATATATAAATAGCCAGTAGAGACATGAAAGCAATAAGCACCATTCACCTTTTAAAAAAATTAAAGACATAATTATAAATCATTCCACACCTGTTAGAATGGCTTTCATCAGAAAGTGGGTGATGACTGTTGAAGAGATACAGAGAAAAGGGACAGGTTCTTTAGACACATAAATGAGTATAGCCATTAAAAATGGCCTGGCGTATCCATCTGTTACAAAAAGAAGCCTCTCTGATAAGTAGGAAATGCTATACTTATCTGTCAACATAAGGATTCATATTTAGCATACAGTAAGAAATTATGTTTATCTAGGGATGTGACAGATGTAAGGTTTTCCCTGAGACCTATGACCTCTCCAGCCGCATGTATTTGGCTATTTTTAATTCAATTAAAAATATATAGATTGAAAAAAATGTTATGGAGGTTCCTCAAAAAACTAAATGACCCAGAAGTGACATTTCTGGATATAGCTCCAGAGGAACTGAAATCAGTACATATAAGAGATATCTGTGCTCTTATGTTTATTATAGCAATTGTCACAATAGCCAAGGTATGGGATCAACCCAAGAGCCTATCGATGGATGAAGAAAATAT